CTAAGCAGCTGATACATAGTTGAACAGAGTTGTTTAAACATTGGCCGTGTCCAGAGTCACTGATGAGGAGTGGAATTCTCCGAAACTAGTCTGGCCCACGGACACACCCTCAATGAAAGAATAGACCATTCCAAGCTTTTACTTGTTGTTAAACAAATGTTTAAATAACTCTGTTCAAAGATGTATTATATATTATGAACGAGTAAACTAATAGAGTTACATGAAATGTTTATAAGTAATTTGTTTGTTTTCGAAACACCATTAAAATATTTAGGACTTAAAAATGAAAACGTTTTACTACTCACGAACATTCACGGTTTAGATCCTCTTCAGTCTGGGGAAATTCTTGTGTTTGAATGGACTGTAGTAGACCCGCTGCACACACATCTATTTCCCGCAAATGGCAGTTTTGGGAATAAACTTGATAGAAACCTATAAAACAAAGAGTATTTGAGTACTTCTGTATGTCTAATTTTAACAGCTTCAATTCAAAAGTGTTTTCCTTCTTGCAATTAATTCACGACATGATTCAATGTACATATGTTAATGATTTCATCATCGTGAAGTTAGCTCCAGCCTACTTTGTTTCATATAGTCGTTGAACATCACAGTAATGATACTGCCAGTCGGCACAATTCACTGTTGTTGTTTTTTTCACATAAATGATGGACATACGTCAATCTTTTCCCTCATCATTTTATCTTCAGCCCACGTAGTTTGATATATTCCTCAAGAATCATCATAATGACTTTCAGTCGATAGAGTTCATTTTGTTTGTTTTTCATTGTGTCGCGGCATAATCTTCATCATGAAATTATTTTATGCTTTAGCACCATTTTCTTGAGCTCCAATTCATGTATTTAAGTGTAGCTTTCTAGCATGGCATTAATATTCTATTAATATAATTCGGCGTAATTTTTAAGCACCATGGTATTGATCTACAGTTGACAAAATTTTTTGTGATCTCTTTATCCAACCTTCAATACATAAAGTTGAGTGGTTCTGAACTTTCCATCATGTAACATAAAATATAATTCGGCGTATTTTGAAAACATTGTACTATTAATCTACTTGTTCCTTTGTACTGAACTTGCGCAAAGCTACTCAACGGCTATCTGCGCTAGTCGTCCCTAATTTATCAGTGAAAGATTAGGGAGAGGCATCTAGCCATCACCATCCACCGCCAACTCTTTGTCTACTTTTCCCCAACGAATAGTGGGATTGACCGTCACATTATTATGCCCCTAAAGTAGGGCCATGGGATTCGAGCCCACGACTCACAGATTCGAAGTCGAGTACTGTAACTTGAGCATTGTGATCCTTTTTATCCATGGTTCCGATATTTAATTCACAAAGTTCAAAAATTATTAACTTTCCACTATATAATGTAAAATGCAATTCGCACAGTTCAAAGTATTCCTGTGTCATCACAGGTTTAAAAGATCCATTAATGTCATGATATTGTTGTTCGATACACTTCTACAAACTAACTGGAAGAGTATATTTTAAGTATTTTACACGTACACGTTCGTCCAAAAAGGTGTTAAGAGCGTAGAACTTGAGTTGTTTGAGATATTAATTTATAACATAATAAAGTGGCTTTATTTGGGGGAACGTACTTGAAGTGGTTTTATTTGGAGAAAGTAATTACATGTTCCGAAAGAACAATGGTCTATCGAAACATATGGTAAGTTCCCCAAAATAAAACCACTACATTATGCTTATAAACCTTTGTTTGTCAATTTATATTATATTATCAAAATGTGCTTCCACACACAAATATAGGATGGGCTCTAACAAATCACTATAAACACGTATTGGCAAAGAGTTTCTACCATTGTCTCTTTTGTATAGGGTGTTCAACGTAAGATTAAACATAAAGTCTTGATCTCTCATTCCACAATAGAAATGTGGACAATGCTAGAGTTATTTTAAGAGTATACAACTGTTCTGATCAAGTTTTGATCAAGTTCCATTAATAGTTTATCATATTTTGTCTGGGTTGGATACATTTATTGCTACACATGAAGCCCTTTATCAAGATTTAAATCTTAATGAAAGTGTGGTTATTCATAGTCATTATCACAATATTAATTATTTTAAAGCCTTGCTACGAAAATTATAGGTGAAATTGATGAAAAAAATATTTGGATATAAATATCACAAAATCTCTAAAGGTTTCTAGACGTTCTACACAATATGCTTTAGCCATGGCAATACGAAAAACAGGATTTAAGGTTGTATACATAGCAATAGTGAGTACAAGTCAAAGGAGGTCATTAAGTCACTCTCTAGAGGCGTTGATTAGACCTCATTTGAAGTACTGTGTTTAGTTTCTGTCACCTTATTAAGCAAAAGAAGTTGAGCTGTTGGAGAGGGTCCAGAGAAAAGTTACTACCAAGATGGTTACAGGTTTGGAGGGAGTTATCGTACGGGGATAGGTTCAAATAGGGGAGAAGGGCTAGGGGAAACAACGTTGAGATTTTTGATATCGTTAGAGGCTTGAAATCCATAAACTCAGAAGTCATTTTCATTTAAAATAACTCAGCAAGCACTATGACTTTAGGGCACAAGTTTAAAATATGGAAAACTCAAAGAAGATTGCAGTTGAACTGCTTACGAAATAGCCTGTCTTCAAATGTTGTAAAAGAAACTGTTTAAGATTAGATTGGATAAAGTTTCAGAGATTGTTGACAGTACAAAATGAGATAGCTTAGATGTACCTTATTATTCTCGGGAATCGAAATAAAATAACTTGATGCTCGATTTCAACTAAAAAAGACGCCTTCCATAGTAAAATATGTTTTCAATATAATCTTACTAGTCGTTCCTTTCCTATTCTTCAGCATATTTTTCTGCTATATAGCCCATCTTTTAAGGTACTTTTTACACCCTAACTTAAATTTATAACGAACTGTTTGTTTAAGAGCAAAACCACGTTGAGCTATCTACTGTATTCACCGCGAAGAATCGATCCTCGGTTTTTTGCGTTATAAGTTCATATATTTATCATTGGCCCACTGGGAAATAAAAGGACTATTATGTATGCTCTATATCCAGTAGTGTGTGTTCAATAAATCCTGAACAATTTGTTTCTTGTCTAAGGTCTTTTTTGTATCAGAAGTTTGTTTTAGGTAAGCTAATTTTTTTTAAAATATGAAAAAAAATAATTAAACTTTAATAACAGAAGTTCAATAATGATTTACAATTTTATTTTATTCACCAAGAAACTTTGTATTTGGATATTAAAACTTGTCTTGTTTGTGCAAATCTTCTAGTTATTCTTACCACGACTGTTTTTTTTAAAGATATGAAAAGTTATACGTATAAAGTTGTATCTTTATTTGACACATGTATTACATCCAGACTAAACGATAAAGGGTAACCACGTCCAATAAACACGCTAGAAAACTAACGTTTCTTTCATCAGCAGTATCAACTACATGTAGAACCTTTCTATTTGACAATTTCCAACTATCTGCTGACCGTCTTATCAGTTCTTGGAATATATGAAAACAATTCAATAATTAGGTCAAACTACTTTGTGCTTGTTGCTTGAAACTCTTTAATAAAAAAAAGTACTGACAAAAAAAAATGGCAATTCACATTTTATGTGTACTTCCATTTAACGAGTTTTATAGTTAAAAAAAAATTATTACTTAGCACTTCTCTTAGGAGAGACTCTAAATATCTGTTACATTTCTTTTCTTTATCTTCCTCCTTCTCAGGTTACATAACAAATAAAAAACTTCCTTCGACTCCCAGAGATTTCTTGTATCTGTAGCTTTACGGAAGCCCCCAGTAGCACAGCGGTATGTCTGCGGACTTACAATGCTATAAACCGGGTTTCGATACCCGTGGTGGGCAGAGCACAGATAGCCCATTGTGTAGCTTTGTGCATAAATACAAACAAAGCTTCACGGAAAATTGGTTTTTACGAAAGTTACTCCAAAATGAATTAATGAAACGGCTTTAAATAAATCATTGGAAGCCGCATTGATGAGTTTGATTTATAACATTGACTGGTCTAAGGTAGCGTTTCCCAAACTTTTCAGCTGAGATTGTTTGTTTGTAATTAAGCACAAAGCTACACAATGGACTATCTGTGCTCTGCTCACCACGGGTATCGAAACCCGGATTCTAGCGTTGTAAGTCCGCAGACATGCCGCTGTGCCACTGGGGAGAGGGGGGGGGGGGCTTTCAGCTGAGAAAAAGCTTACAACACTAAACACGTGAAATATCGGTGTAGAGGGCGCGTTGCGCACGCAGCGCCCTATAGAGCTGTATATTTTTTCATTTATTTAACTAATCAAATTACATATTAATGAA